ACCACTGACACAGGTCTGACTTCACAGACCATGTTATCGCCTTAACAGGCACCTGTATCAGACCGCAAACAAGGGCCTAAGTCGCTCCTTGAAGGGATGGGGGCGGGATGGCGGCAACTCCTTTGATCAGCCTCCAAAAAGCTACCAGTATTGTCTTCGACATAATACCCCATTTACACCAACATCTCATCACTGTTGCATTTTGGGATTTGCCAGCTTTGGCGCTGCCTGGGATGGGGATTGATTGGCTGACTGGCCGGGAGTGACAGGCCCAGGCATAGCCAGCTTGGGGGCCATGAGAACAGCTCCAAAAGGACGTCACAAGAGCAGTGGCCAGTGGCAAAAGGCAGTTTCCATTATACCCTTGTCAGCCTACCTGCATTGATAGAGAACCTCTTCATCATGATGAAAAAAAGGAAAAAAATATACTTTGTGGTTTTATGCTTTTTTTTCAGGAACATGCAAAAACTTTTTATTTTCACAGAGGTAAATCGTAGTGTACTTTTAAGGTCCCAGAAGGTTTGAGTGTGTGAAATAAACAGAAACAACTAAAAACACCTCCTAAAATGGTTACAAATATAAGCATTTCAATATGGGCTTATACCAATCTTAGTATATAAGTCCATGCTTCCAAAGTGACCTATGAAACGGGATATACCGCTATTGATATGGATGCTCTCTACTTTTGAGTGGGAATAGTGTTGAACTCAAGGATGAATTTGTGTGTAGATCATTAGAATAGGTGCTGGTATGTATTGTTCTGGCAGTGTGGACTCATCTAGAGACCTGAATGTTTACAGAGTGGTGCACAACCCTCTTGCTTGTGCGTACACCAGATGATGTAGATACAATGTAAAGCTCATAAATATGATAGGGAACACAGGTATGAATGTTCTTCTAAAACCTCCCCGATGAAAAGATTTGAGGAGGGTTATAAGAGGTCATGGCTGCGCGATGTCACGCTCAAAGGGGGCCCTTAGGCTTCAACATGGATACATATGAAATCTGGATGATCAATAGCATCGCTACTGATTCCAGAGGATGAATCAAATCTTGGAGGATCATTCAAAGGCATCCATCAAGTCGGGACCACCAGACAAAGATTTTGATCTGGAATGATGGATTCACGTCTCATTTATCGCAGAGTCGTACATCATGTGATCCGCTCGCATTTAGCTGCCACCGATTTAAAGAGCATTTAAACAAGATGGATTTGGGGATCGTTTCTATTATTGATGGAAATAAAACTCACAAAAGCCCTCTTATGATAGTTTAAATCATTACTTCTAAAGGAGATGGCATTAAATGGATTTAATTGTGTTATTAAGATGAACATACGGTGCCTTTAAAGAGTGCCGACTTGCGACGGTTGCATTGAAAAGTAACTAAACGGTGAATGGCCTCAGTGAGGCTAGCCCTAAAGCTTCACCAACAAATGGAGCTATGTCCCTTTTCTTTGGTTTTTTTTAAAAGATTTATCGGCGCATCTTTTCAAACTGGAATGATTGTCATTAGGCTTAGCAGAGTGAATGAAGGCTGAAGTGAGATACATTTCTGTGTCGTAATCCTCTTACAATGATATCCCACTATCTGTGCGGAGATCTGTTTGTGAAATATATAACAGTGATTAAATTGGCAACATCGCGCAACTTAGCTCTGGAGGTCAACCACTGACAAACAAACTTATTTTTGTGTAAATGCAGAGGTGATGCAAGGGAATACGGAATGAAAGCATTATCCTTAGAGGGGTCATCACAAGATGGGGGTGTAAAGAAGGGGCGGGGAGTAGGGGCGGGGCCAGGGGAGGGGAAAGAGGATTAAGCATGATGAGAAAGAGGCAATGATGCGAATGTTGAAAAATGAAATTTGAAAAAGGAGGGGGTGGGGAGGGGAGGGGGGAAGGGGGAGGGGGGTGGAGAGGGGGGAAGAGGAGGGGGAATATATAGGAGGGGAAGTGAGAGTGGAGTGGAAGAATGATGGGATATGAATCAACATGTTGAAAAGTGAAAGGGGTTGGTAGACAATGAAGGGGGAGTAAAGGGTGGAAAGGGAGGGAGGGTGGAATATGATTTTTGACTTGGGGATCGAAATATGGAATTGTTATCAAAATGGGACGAGAAAGAGAGAGGAGGGGGAGGCAAATTCAGCTACGAAGCCAACATTTTGTTCCTCACAAACAGTAGGAAAAGAAAAACAATAAAGTGGACTAGTAAATGGACTTGATAAAGATAAAAGCCTTGGCAGTTGATCCCAAGAAACCCCCACATGAACAATTCAACCGATAGATGCATTCCTGATTGGATTTGGAATAACCATCGCATTACATTTCAGATGCGAAAGGGGACTTTGTGATACGAATAGGGCACGGTCGATTTCGGATGCCATTAGAGTGCTTTGGGTGGGCCCAATCTAGCTGATGCACAACAAAAGTGACACAAATTGCCCAATAAAACCAGGTTAATCCACCCATGAAAGTGATATAGCCTATAATAAGCTCGCCAAGGACCTGATACTACCTTGTACTTTTTGAAAAGAAAATTTAAAAGAGTTCAATTCTGGAGGAAATCACAAGGATACAGTTCAAAAAGTAATAAGTAATTGATGTTAATTCAATTTCAAGTGATAATTATATATATCTCTCTCTCTCCATCTCTTATTTGCTGTTTTCCTTCACTTTTTTGTCCAAAAAAGTACTAAAATATATGTTATAGGCCAATATAATACTTGTAGAAAGTATATAGCAATTTAACAAAGAATTTTAAGAATTGTATTTATAGTTTATTCAGTTTGTGAATATTGCTTTGGTCGTTATGGTCTTGGACATCAAATAGAAGAGTTCCTTCAAAGCTTTATCACTCAGTTTGCATTCCTGAGGCCTGATCAATTCTTTTATTAAAGTGTTGAATAAAGGAACCAATCTTTTTCAATGTTAATTATTTGTTGGTATAGGCCTACAATATTGATTAGGCTGAAGAACTTGACATGTTATTCTGTCGTCTTAGAGAAAACAAACTTTCTTCCAAGACTTCAGGTGTGGTCTTTGAGGGATATCCTCAGCACCACTTTCTTGAAACCAATGAGGACAATCTGTGTGAATCTGTATGCTAGCTTTGTAGATCAAGTTCATGTCCATTCAATGTAAATCCACTCGTTACTCAGATATTCTGGTGAGGTTGTGTTCATTGTGGTTTCGATTGGTTCCCAGCAGTGGGGACAGTGGACACCAAAGTCACTGAGTTTCCCAGAAGTCAGAACAGTGATATATCCAACATCCATGCCAGAAAGATGGCACCAACAAAGTAACAAAGTGGTCCTCCTCCCTGCCCTCTGCGTTCTTCCAGTGCCACCCACTCTGTGGATTTAAACTTAATGAAGAAGAAAAACTGTAGGGATTCCCGCTGCGTCGCCAATTATAATTCCAGGTGCAAGATTTTAGCTCCATCGATACCATGTTGTCATGATGTGATGCCCTATGATGTCAAGTCAACTATGCCTCTAACGGAGCATTGATTTCAACCATTAGGGTCATTGTGAATGTTCAAACACGACGCTCTCCTTCATTGCACCCTAATTTGATACATGCTGTGGTGTCATCAGTCGGGGAAGGGGTAGGGTAGGGGCAAGGAGGGAGAGAGGAGGGGTGAGGTGGGGGGGGGGGGAGTGTTTCAGGAGGTGGTAGGAGGGGGCAGGAGGGGGTCAGGTGGATGAAGGAGGTCAGAGGGGAGGAGAGGGCAGGGGATGGTGAGAAGGGGAGGGAGAAAAGGATAAGGGGGTGAAGATAAGTATCTTTTGGAGGGGGAGGGGGGGGGGGGTATGTGATAAGTATCTTCAGGTACCTTGCCCCTACAATAGAATACTGATGCTCAAGAAGTATATGGTTTGTTTCATGATACTAATATGAGAGATTACATAAGTGAATTTAGAACATTTACTTTCTATTTTAATGTATTTTCTTTGTGAGGAGGCAAAACATGTATTTGAAGTGAAAGAACGTCTAGCAAGTGCCTGTCTTTGAGGTTTACATTTCGTTTTGGTTATTGTTTTACATTCTTATGAGGAAATACGTTCTCTTTGCTCATAATATGACTGACTTTCATGAGATATTAGTAACATATTAAACCGATGTATGAAATGTTTGCTTTTGATCACGAATAGTTGAGATTCATGAAATGTTAGTAACATACTGAGAGGCTACAAGACGATGGCATGCACCGAAAGCCTGAGAGTAAGATATTTCAAAAATCCGCTCGGCTTACGCGGATGAAACCTGACAGTCTGGCTTCTGTCACATCATCTGTTGAAAGTAGAATAAAGAGATGTTATTTTCATTCAATTTTGGGATCACCTTAGACAAGCAACGAACGAATCAATATTTTTACAATCGCTCGATTTGGGATTCCTGTCTGAAAAATCACTTGATCTTGGTAATCTGTGCTCGTTTTGCGGTCTTTGGCAGATATCCATTTCGGGCTTGACGCCCCCCCCCCCCCCCCCCCCCCCCCCCCCCCGAATGTGGACCTATCATCGCTGCAAATGATAACGAAATAAGATATAACAGCTGGTGTAAACATGAAGTATTATCTTCCCCAAGGCTAAGTTGAACTCCGAAGGCCAGTTTACACACTGCAGTGATTACGATTCAAATGGCGTTTGATCTCCCGACAAGTTGCAGAAAGTTGTAAAAGATGGTTTTAAACTGTTAGAATATTGTGCATTTTTTCTGGTTGTCCATTTTTGTGAACAAACGACTCCCATTTCTTTTGGAGAATTAAAATCTTAATTCCAATTTTAATCAGCACTATGATATGAACGCTCTTTTTAGGACTCCTTGTCTGTTTTTCCAATTCCAACACCTAATTGTAAAATTCTAGCTAAAAGCCTGAATGAATGTGTTAGTAAATTAGATCACGATAGAGTGACTTCCAATGTGCTTACATTAGTAAAAGGCCAGAATCATTGATTTAATTACAATTTTGTGTGTATTTTGTTATCTTTTCCAGGTCACTTTCTAGGCAATCACACCGTGTTTGACTTCCTCGAGAAAATAGGGGTAGAGGTTTTCAACGTTCCTACAGACACACCACTCAATAGGTAGGTACTATCTTTTTTTTAAATCAAGCGATCACGTACTGTACTAACATGATTCAATGAGCTCTGTGTTATAAAATACACCTTTGTGAAGCATATTACCGGTACCTGTACACTTTAAAGGGAAAGTCCACCCCCAAAATAAGTTTGTTTCGATAGAGGCAGAATAATAAGAAAATCAGGTGAGTGAAAGTTTGAGCAAATTCTGAATGAAAATAAGAAAGTTATGAATTATTGAAGTTGTGATCAATCAAATACAAATTGGCAACTCTGTGACTTATTATACGAGCTCTCCTTCATTTGCTTTGTGCATAATATTCCATAAAATCATGTTTTCTTCGTTATTGATGACGGAATATATATTTGTTCCTTGCAGGGGGAGTATAGAAACATATTTGCAATTATTATATTTAGGGTGCATGTATGGTTGAAATTTTTCTTGAGGGAAAATGAAAATTTTAGATTTTTTTAGTACTGAGCAAATGGAAGTTGAGCTCGCATGATACGTCATAGAGTTGCCAATTTGTGTTTGATTGATCACAACTTCAATAATTCATAACTTTCTTATTTTCATTCAGAATTTGCTCAAACTTTCACTCACCTGATTTTCTTATTATTCTGCCTCTATCGAAACAAACTTATTTTGGGGGTGGACTTTCCCTTTAATATGTCATCAATTTCCGCTGGAAAACGTTGATAAGTAGTTTTTTCGCAGTTGTGAATACAACCAATACCAGAGCTTCATCTGTTTTGACCCAAGCAACCTACCCTCTGCACCAGAGTGTGGTGTATTCAAGGTGGCACCCAAGATCAAGTTTGGGGTCAAAGGGCGAAGGTCAGGGTGCACCACATTGCCATCTGCTCATAGAAGATACAAGTATGTTGTAAGAATCTCTGACTGCTATGTATCAGAAACGACGGGCACAAATGAGCTGATTGCATGTAACAGGTTGGGTAAATTGTTTTAGTATGAGTAGATAGTCTGTAGCAAGATAGGCCATGATAAGATAGTCAAAAGTAAAATAGGATGAGATAAGATATAGTCCAAATTGAGATAGGTAAAAGTAAGATATGCCAAGACAAGATAGTAAGAAGTAAGATAGCCAGGGGTAAGATGGGGCGAGGTGAGATAGGCTGAGATAGTATAGTCAAAATTAAGATATTCAGAAGTAAGATAGTTCGAAGCAAAAGAGTCAGAATTAGGGTTCAGGAAAATAGCAATAATGATCTATAGTCTTTTTAAAGGGATCGTTTAACAATGCTAAATCTGAGATACACGGCCCTACGTGTTATCAGTGTCTGTGATATGATGTAATATTAAAGCCCTAAAAAAATTGCGCTTCAAAATGATCAAGAAGTGCCTCAAAAAAGTAAAAATCTTTGCGTGACCGGTTTTACCATACTCGTTTTCCCCAATAGACTGTAGTGTTATGAAAACTGTCAGGTGAACGGTTTTCAAAATTTGTAATTCCAATCATAAATATCTTGATAATCAGACAGGCGATCGGCTTGAAAAAGTCACGGGGTTCCTGACTGACCTAAAGGTTTATAATTATCATTGCATCGTGAGCTAAATCCAGAATATGTTTTCAGAATCTGAGACAAAGTTACCGGATCCCTTTAAGAAGTGAGGAAGAACAAAAGGGGTTGAATAAAAATTTAAAGTGCCTTGACTACAGATCAAAATACCAAGGAGCCGGGGTTTGGTCCCTTCAAAGACAAACTACAGTTACAAAACATATGGGTCTGTGCACATCCTTGCACTGCTGGCTTCTTCTACGAATTCACTTTAAATTTTTGCTTTTAATTCTTCCACTGGTCATTTCTATGCCCTTCTCTCTTACAGTAGTTAGGGTGATAAGGATTCTTTTTTGTTTGTTTCCTGCTTTACAAAGATGTGTTTTTCACCAGATTATTTTTAAAAGTAAAAATATCTTTGATTTCTGGTTCTTTTCATTTTTGCTTTTAATTCTTTCACTGATCATTTCTTTGCCTTTCTGTCTAATGGTACTAAGGATGATAAGGTTTCTTTTTGTTTCCTGCTTTTCAAAGATGTGTTTTGACCATTTTATTTTTCAAAGTAAAAATCTCTTTGATTTCGGGTTCTTAGAGGTGAATGATCTTTTTTGCTTGATACCAAACCTCTTAAAATAATTTGAAGCCTTTTGCAGTAAAAACTATCGTCGCCCTAGCATTCTCTTTCTCTCTTTCTCTCCCGCTCACACACAATGCAATGGATTTTAGTGAATTCCAATCACCTTTTAAGCTTAATGGTAAGAGACAATGTTTAGGTCTCTATTTTGTTTCAGGGAAGAAAAGAAAGAAAAAAAGGGGGAAGGGTAGATGTATTATAGAGCCCTGTATCTGTCACCCCTACTTGGCTTCCTCGTCTAATGCTGCGTGTTCCAATCCTGCCTTCTGCTTTTAGTGGTACGAGATCTTTAGGGTTGCACTTAAAAGCTCCCATTGTGCCGCCGTTTAGTTGCGCCTGGTTAGGCCCATTGATGGCCCATCCGTTCCTCTCACTTGGTCGCATTCAGCCAATTGTCGGGGCTTTGTTCGTGGTGCCAAGCCTCGGTGCTTGGAGCAGCGCCCCTCTAACTCGCTGTCTGGTGCTACCAGCACTGCCTCCCCGTCAAACGCCGCACTCGTTTGGAAAATTTGGATCGGAAGCCAAACACCCGTATGAAAGAAAAAAAGAAAGCAAGGAAAGAAAACAAGGTCAGCTCTCGGGTAAAGGGAGCTATATTTCACAGATTACCTAGAACAGTTCTCCATTTTTGAAAATGTCTCTATAAAAATTGAATAAGAATTGCAGATATGATCACCCTGTATATTAAATATACATTATATTAATGTTTCATCTCTATTTATAATAGTATTTAAAACTACATTAAATAATATTCACAAGTGTATAGAGACATGCAAGTATGCCTGTATTATGTGCTATAAAAAAATGTTTAATTATCATTAGTAGTAGTAGTAGTAGTAGTAGTAGTAGTAGTAGTAGTAGAAGTAGTAGTAGGGTTATTCTGTATTTAGGCTTTTTCAATTAAAAGTAATAGAGCAATTTTTGAATAAACTCTGAAATAGGTGGTATATTCTGTAACTGTTTTATCAGCATCTATGTGTGATCCCAGTGTATCGGTAGCTATTTCTTTTAATATTAATCATTAATTTTCTGATTTAGATTATGATGTGACACAGCATATGTACTTGCATGTAGTATATTCATGTATAATTATGTTATAGTTGAAAAGCACTCAAAGACACAGGACTAGAAGAAGAAATGCACACGGTGGTAAAAATATACCTGGTTTACACCATTTCAAATGAATTTTATTTACATTGTGGTGGCTTAGTAAATATTCCTCACACACCAGCAGTACAGATTCTGAATCATTCTCTTTTACAGTGTTTTTTATTCTTTCAGTGCTATAGTTGCTATATCATATATATTGTTACTTCAAACAGCTTGTCTTTCCTTGTGAACTTCAAAATGGGTTCATGAACTCATCTGTTTTAGAACGAGAAGGGGCTTATAGCTCATGTACTTTAATCCAGAGTTAACACCCCTCTGGCCCTGTACACATGAACTGTCAAGTCAAATAATGAAACAAGTGGTTGTATTATAAGATGGACAGTGGAGAAGAAAAAAACACATCTAATAAGTATCCTTTTCTCATTAAATTTCAATCTTTTTTGTAAACTTAGTGGCACAATAGGTGCTTATCTGAATTCACTTCTAATTATTTTCTAACATTCCATTTTAATTACTTGTAAAGATTAGTTTCTCAATATTTCCTGGTACTAGGTAGCTACAGAGCTTCATAAAATACTGATCCTATTTGTAAATATATAAACAGAACTAAAGAGATCTAATCCAATTTTACACATATTAGCCCATGAACAAGGGCATAAATCCTCTTATAATCTTCTGATAATCTTGAAAAGTATTCCTAGACAGTTTTTCTTATTTCGACAAGAGGAATGTGGAAGAGACAAAGAGGATGAGAGGTATAAACCACAGAAATACCACGACACTTCCACTTATTCCCTCCGATTCCAGTCGGTCTTCACCAAGAGAATATGTGGTTACTTGTAATCAAGAGAAAGTCTCCTAAAAATAGACTTCTGCTCTCTTATCCATCTTTGTGTGTGTGTGGAGAAAAACGATGCTAGGAAATGCAGTCATTCTTACATGTTACTTGACTGTTGAAAAAAAAAAAAAATCATTTCTAATCTAAATTTTTTGCAAATTTTGGTGAATTCATTGGATTCTCTTGTATAATTTTGAACAATGCAACTTCCTGACTACCTCTGATATATAATAGAACTGTTATAGCTAGTGTTATCTAAATAGCAATCCTACACCCTGTTCTATTACTGTTATAAGAATGATATTGCTATTTATTTATTTATTTATCTTTTATCTTCTCTCTTTGCTTTTTCTCTCCAGTTCCAGGAGCTCATCTAGCTCAGTTGACGGTATTGATGGAGAGGGGACAAGCGAGGGCAGCAGTCGCAGGCATGGGAAGCGAGGCAGGAGACGGAAAAAGAAGAAGCAGCGACTCGGAGAGACGGACATCGGCCACGTCATCTCGGTACCTGTGCCGGTCAGAGCAGAGAATAACAGACAGTTCAACGAACTTTGGATTCCTTTAGATAGGATAAGGTAAGAGGTCAAAGGTTGATCTGACAATTGCTCTGGCGAAATTTGCTCTGGTGACATTTTTTGTCTGGTGACCAATGCTCTGGACTTTATTTTGTCAGAGATATAGGGTTAAGTTTAGTATTGATTTGTTTTTTGGTCGGTAGTGGCAAGGCTAGACACGAAGAGGGGCCGGGCACATGTGAACTCCCAAAAGTTCCTCAAATTTGTGGTCATGATATGTCTATGCGAGTGTCTCTTTACAAAATAATGATATTTGTAATCTGGTAATAGTGATTCCAGACTTTTACAGTAGCATTATTTTCACTCGATAAAGAAATGTACGAGATACCCTCTCTAGGATCTAGTTCAGCTTAGGTTAAACACAGTTTGATAAAAATTGTATTAACTGAATTAGTAGAAAGGACAAAATGATTATCAAGAAAATTATAGTAGTAGTAATGGTGGTATGGACTATGATGTAACCATTTCTCTTCTTTCTTCCTCTCTCCCATCCAGTGAAATCCCATCCACCAAGAGTCCCGACAAAGACGAGAAGGTCCTCACGGCGATGCCGACACAACAAATCTACACTGCGCATAACCTTCCCAGCGTCTCGGCGGCCAGTGGGGGCAGCAGACCCGCCGTCTATCCTATTCTCTACCTCTCGCTCCTATTACACATAGCACTATACATTTTAAGTCGAGTAGATAGGTAGTGGTACATCATTATGTTAATATAGTAGAGTGTATTCAAGTTCTGCTTTAGAACCAATAGGTCTTTAATCCAAGAATAGACTTTAATGCCTTCTGTCCCATACGTGATAGTATATTGGTATGCCATGTGATATCATATCATTATATCATCTGCTGAGCGCCAGAAGGGCGTTCTGCTATACAGAGTGAACATCCTTGTGGCACTAAACAGATGATATTTGTCACTATGTATGGGTAGTTAGCTACTGCCAGGGGATGATATATATATATATATATATTAATAAGGGAATATATCGAGAATCATATATTTATATTTTTCGCAAGAGTATGGCTCCGTGAGTCGTATTTGATTATGCTATGGTGCAAAGAATGTCTTAAGTTTTTTGAAAATATTATATGAAGCAAGAATAAAGATTGAATGCAAAGTGAAGGAGTAGATTGCATTCTCATTTGGGATAATTCAACTGTTGAGTGCCAGAAGGACATTAACTCTTTGTATTTTTTACACAGAGCCCTTCAGGGTCTAAACAAACAAATTGTCAGTGAATTACGCGCAGTTTACGTCTACCATAGGTATTACAGAGTATTATTTATTGCAACACTGTAAATAAATAAAAAAAGCACTGATATTTGCAAAGATGCACATTGCGTTATTGCCCGTTATCAAGTAGATTCTTTTTTTCGTTCATTGTTTCTCCTTCAAGGAACATGGAAATGAGAAAATTTGTAGTTTCGAGAGAAAGGTACTGGTTAAAAAAGTTTTTGTCTTCAACATTTGTCAAATTTACACACTGCCAAAATGAATCATGCAAACATCTACCATTGAAAGTCACTAGTGTGTAACCATTATACACGTACTAGCATTACATGCTTGAGAGTGTATTAGTAAATATGCATCTAATATCAAATCCCTTGTAATTAGGTTTGGGAAGAGGAAACATATTGTAAAACTCGCTACATTAGAGCATGTGTATCGTGGGGATATGATTAAAAGTTATAAATGCTTATATTAATTTTGTATTTCTATAACACATTATTTCCATAATTTATTCACTGGTCATCATGAATTTTCATATGTTACACTGCCCCAAATCACTGCCACAATAACTCTAAACCTGACCAAAATTACCTCATGTCAATATCATTTTGACAGTAATGTATTTCAGTGTTAATCTTTATCAGCATTAAAGCAACTTATCCATGTTTTCACTGTCCCCTTTGTTATGTCCGCAAATAGTTCACCTAAGTAAATGTGCTATGTTCTGTCCGTTTCTGCAAGTAAATGTAAACAAAGTGATGTTATTTAGGGTCCCTGTATTTAATGGTGCTATGGTTTAAAAGGAATGTGTCTAAAATTACAAAATAGTTGCCAAATGAGCTCTCTAGTTGTACATTATTCAGGGAAATACATTTGTGTGTTGAAGAGAGTGAAACTGATACACTGAATGCATTAAGTTATGTGGATATATGCACTACAAATAATAGATCCAAGAATAGATTGTTTCATCATAAAATTTAACAGATGAATTGTTTAATTTTGAAATTGAGCAAACAATTTGTTTAATAATGCTGATATTGTTGAAATAACAATATCTCATGGTCTTAGTTAAGCTGTTAATATCGTGTTTGTGCTCAGATCGTTTGAATGAGGAAAAGACTTCCACGGGTATATATTCACCATAGGGTTCATTAAAACCATATATACAGGGTTTTCAATGATTTTTCACGTTGATAATTCATCTCATACATATGCCTAGGAAGACTTCATCTCATTAAAGATTCTGCCAAATATCTTGCAGTGTCAAATAATTTTCTGCTAACATCTTCAACTGAACTGAACTGAAAATGAATTTAGTATTATATATCTCAATAATCTCTTCAAAAGTCACTCGTTAGTTACGGTACTTTTTTAAGATTATTTAATCCTATGTACTTTGTGTAATCAAGGAGTCATTAGATAAGCTTTCCCAGTTTTCCCTTGGAATGATGATTTAAATTTGATTGCATATTTACTATGCACACGATCTCTGTATATCGGGATGAACAATAATTTTTCTATCAGTGCTTGAATGTATCTTCTGTCTGCAAGCGTATCAATGGATGAATTGGATATTGGTTGGGCGTGAGGTGTTCAGAAAGTTTTAGTTCAGAAATATCTCAACTTCAAATGAAAGATTAAGTGCCAAGTGTATAAGACGTAGATATTGTGAACAGTATTAAGAGACATGCATTACTTGTTATATTTTTGTAAGAAATTATTTGTACATATACCCAAACGAACATAGATTCTGTAAAAAAAAAATAAAGAGAGAAGAGGAGAAAATATCATGGAATAATAAAAAATATTGAAATATTTAATACTTTGACTTGTCTTGGAAATTTTCTGCTTTCTTTGACTCTTATCTGCTGCCTTCTCAATTTGTGCATTGCTGTTGGTGAGTGAGGAGGTGTATGCGAGATAAAAATGTCTTGCCACAGTGTGTCTAGGGGCAAGCCTGAAAGAATATTTGTGTATATTGTTGGGACATCGACTGCATGATAAAACCTTTAAAGAATGCCAATGATGCTGACGATGACGATGAAAGTGACAACAATAACAATAATGACCATTATGATGATGATGATGATAGTGGTGATCATGGTGATGGTGGTGATGATGATGATGATGAAGACAATAAGGATGATCATAATAATAATGATGATAATGATATGTCTTTGATGATAGTGGGGATCATGGTGATGTTAGTGGTGATGATGATGAAGACAATAAGGATGATCATAATAATGATGATAATGATATGACTTTGATGATTGTGATGATAGTAGTGATGATGGTGATGATGATGATGATGATGATGAAGACAATAATGATGTTGATAATGCTCATTATTGGTACGGTACCAAATTTACGTTCAAAGCATTCAAATACACAGATCTTTCTAGAGAAGTTGTAAATCAAAAATTTGTTTAAGAAATAGCCATGGTTTTTGGCATAATATTTCATGCTAGTTTATGCTCTGCATGTTTTACTTACTAAGCAGTAACCCTAATAAATGTACCTATCCCATAGTTCAAATAAAACTTTGATGAAAAAATAAACAATAAATACTAAATGCCTTGAAAGTGTCAAAAATTGTCAATTTCACAAAGAAAGGAAATGGAGGCAGTGTCGAGGATGTGATTTTCTGGCTTCTTGGCCAGTATATTTTGAGAAATTGAAATTTTCAAAAAAATTATTTATAGCAAGCATGTGTTTTAAGAAAGAGGTTGAAATTTAAAACACATCCTGTTCAAATCACTCCCGATGGACCGTTTATTGAATGTAAGCTTGACATTCTTCTAATAAAAACATAATAAATGGCAACGGGTGTTCGTTTAAAGACATTTAAGTACAAACTAATAAAACCATAGTTGTTGAAAAATTGTCCCTCGTGGTCTATATGTCCCACGTGATCTGCCCACTAGGCTGACATTTTCTGATGGGGGAGGGGGGGGGGGGGGGGGGCAATGGTGGATTTTAGGAGGTACAACCCGCCCAGGTCTCACTTTAAAAACCAATGTGGAATACCATGAATACACCCCTTCTCCCCCCCCCCCCCTAAAAAAAAAAAAATAGCCCCCACTTTGTTCTTGTACCCTCTTTCAAATTCTAGACCAAGAGGAAAGTGTAAATCTTTTCCTTTCTTTTCACTTTTCTGAGATTCTTGCTAAAACCTTTATTTATAAGGGCTTATCATTATTATGTTTAAGTCATTTGACAGCTCTCCATTACAAATATTCATCACATTGATCAAGAAAGATTGCCCTGGTCACATGCGAAAAATAAATGTCTATATTTTTTCTTCTCTATGATCTTGTGGTATTTCCTAGGAAATTTTTTATGAACAAATGGAATTTAGACCCCAAAAACCCTGTATTTTCAGGCTAAAAAAATTGGGAAGAAAAGATAGATGAAATATATATTCAGAGCTGAAAGTAGTAAAAAAAAAAAAAAAAAAATATTTCTGTGCTTTTTTTTTACTCTATTTGTCAACTAGTTTTAGACTACTATATTTTGACCAGGGTGGTTCACAAGATGAATGCATATGAATGATATTGAAGCGAATTGTAGGCAGTGGTTTTGTATAGATTACCTGTACACTGAAGCAACATTTTTATTGATTGAAATACTTTGTGAATAACATGAAATAATAGTGATAATATGATGAATGACTGTTGTAAAAATTGATGCATTAATGTGCAAATGTACAGATGGGGATAAGTGTGTTAGAAATTGGATAAATAGAAAGAAACACATTAATAGAATAGAAAAGCAACAAAATGCGTATTTCAACACATACAAAATTAGGTGCATACACCTAGACTGAAGAAGAAAAAAAAATCCATTATGAAACAAAATATAATTTATGAATAATGACCTAAAAAACATGTATGTACATTTTAAGTTCAAGAAAGGAAGTAAACCTAGGTTCTATCTGCCCTATTTTTTCTTCTTTTTTTCAATTCTTCAATCGAGTTGGTGATGATGTATTACAATTACAGAGAATCCTACCCACACATCTGTCATTTTTGTCACCAAATACAAAGTGTTAACAAATAAACAGCTAACAAAACAGCAACAAATGTGGTTATTGATCGTTTCTGTATGGTTCCGCTTGTACAAGAAATATGTTGAACAGATGTGCAAGCCGTAAAGCAACAAGTGCTGAAATGTATTACAAAATAATAGCCTCCATGGGAATAGAGGGAAACTGTTTTATGGCATGTAAGACAATTTACAAAATAAGCAAATAATAAAAACTCTCCTTGAAGTTAATTTTCTGAAATGTGTCAGGTGGAAATATGACAAACAAGTGATGGAAATGGAAAATTAAACTGATATTCTTTGTAAGTGTTTAGCGTGGGAGGATGCATGTAACAACTATTTGGTTCATTGTCTGCTATAAACAACAACAGAAACAAAGAAAATTAGAAAGAAAGAAAGAAGAAGTAAAAGGAAGAAGTGGAAAAAGAAGTAGAAGAAAAGGAAAGATGGAAAAGAAAGATGGAAAAAGAAAGAAGTAATAGAAGAAGAAAGAATTAGTAGACAAAGAAGGAGAGAAGTAGGAGGAGAACACTAAGAAGGAGGAGGAGAAGAAGCAGGGGGAGGGGGAGAAGAAGGAGAAAAGGAAGAAGGAGATATAGAAGTGGTGATGGTGGTGGTAGTAGTAGTTGTATGTAGTAGTAGTAGTAGTAGTAGTAGTAGTAGTAGTAGTAGTAGTAGTAGTAGTAGTAGTAGTAGTGAATTGGAAAATATGTAGCTCCACATGATATTTAGGTTGGTAGGGTCATTGTAAATATTATCACAGGGAGACTGGCAATATTTTTAGAAATTTCATCAAATAGTCACCCAACACACATTTCTAACACACTGTGATATGATTTTTTAAACACATATTTTTTTAAAGCTAAATAATGTCATTAAGAGCACACCATGCAAATGAGCAAAGTCTTTGGCTAGGGGTCGTATCATTTTTATCTTTTTTTGGTTTCTTCTCCATTCATACATCCTTTGACACATATTTCCATTCTCTTTCTCTCTTGATATTATTTTTTAATTTGGGGGAGGGGGAGGTGGGGGGGGGGGGGTGGCCCCTATTTCTATGTCACTGAGCCCTTATCAGCAGTTCATTAGTTAAGCCAATGGCATTATCAACATAGAGGAATCAATAACATTTTCCAGCGATATAAATAAAAGAGTTCCTCAATTTTTATCACTATGATTTAAAAAATGAAAATTTTTCATTCAGATCTGTACAAGGACCTTCTATGTATTTTTTGGTGTTGAAATGCTTGTATATATATATATATATATATATATATATTTCAATATCGACTGGCAGGAGTTGTAATACATGTATAACATTCTTTGTATCACCGATAGGAGTTAAATGTTCCACAGGGGTTATATATTCCTGAACTGCACATCTGTAAAAGTGTCTTCCATGTAGAGTTTTGTTTTGAAATATCTGTTTATCTTTTTATCAAACACAATGAAAGAGGTCACAACAGAAAAAAACATGATGAAAAACAGTTTATTGTTATAAACTTATCTTCATTATATGAAATCAAATAATTTACCAGCTACAATAATATGAATTTTGAATAATTATGATTTCAAACTTAAGTACTGATTTTCAAGCAACTATTTTGTTAACATGATTGCAAAGATTATCAAAAAATCAATAGCCTTTTCTATCACCAAGTGAAGTGTGTGAACATACAGTGTATCCCAGAAAAAACGAACCGAGAATTATCAATGTTTTATCTTAACTTAATCACAATTATAATTAATAAATGACACATATTTGTAAAGCTTAGATCCTCCTCTTTCATTTGATGCAACTATGTATCATATGAGTTGCATTAAATTTAAAAGAAGGATCTAAGCTTTACAAACATGTGTCATTTATTAATTATAATTGTGATTAAGTTATGATAAAATATCAATAATTTTCGGTTTTGTTTTTTCTTGGACGCACTGTATAACATCATCTGAAATGATTCCTCCATCAATATGATAAGGCATTGAAATCACCCTTGATTTGACTTCTTTAAAAATAATCTAGCAATCATGTTTTTGCTGTATTTATTGCACAATTTGGAATCTTAAAGATAAACTTGAGTTCTGGTAAAAAAAGAAAATGAATTCTCACAGAATCAAAGGAAACTTACACTGAATGTTAAAGATTAAAAATAAATGTCATTTGCCAAACAATTTTGGTAGAAAATGTATACTGGCTGAGTAATGAGCATAGAAAGATAAGGAAATCAAGGCAAGTAGGCTCGACATCATTTGTGTAGTCCTATATACATCTTTCTGTGTACAGTGCTTGTTACTTTACCAAGACTGGGCCAAATTTATTATGATTTTGATGACTCCAGAACCTTGCACCAATACTTACATGCTACATGATCAACTTTTTCTGATCCATTCCACAACTTTTCTTTCACAATGCAATCGTATGACCAGAACTCAACTTTATCTTTAAGCTCCCAAGTACACAAACCTGTACCTTGAATTGATTTCTTTAAAAATAATCAAGCAATCATGTTTTTGCTGTATTTATTGCACAATTTGGAATTTTAAACACCCAAGTACACTATACGTGTACCTGTATGTTCATCTATGTCGTTGCTGTGAATGGTGCTACGAGGAAAAAAATGTTCTAAATCATTTCTTTTTGCCATTGCCTTGTCCCTTAATTATTTACACACATACAAATTCATACTTAAAAGCATGGTAATTAAACATAACATTCAATCACTTTAGACTATATATTCTGGGCTCCGTCTTATAAAGAGTGGATATTAATCGCAACTATGTACATAAGAGATAGGAGACTGCACACTTGAGATTGATTGGAGGACTTGCGATTGATTCGGATCAATCGAAAATCTTCATACGACGGGGCAATGGATAATTACAGCACACATGAACACTTATTATAAATGATAAGGCACATTGACTCATTCATAATCAATTGGCTATTTGGCACTAATGACAACGTATCTATGGAAAATGACATAAGAAGGAAGAAGAAGAAAAAAGCATGCATGTCATTAAATAAATAATTCAGTGGTCAGAGGGTACTTCATCAATGTCTGGAGTGATTGTTGAAAACGGACCAATACTCTGTACTTGAGATGAAGAATAATACAAGATATTCTAGTAAATCATCAACAGGCTTTTGTTTATATCACGGCTAACAAAAACATTTCAATACCAAACTATTATCTATAGTTTGTGTTCACCCATCCATGCTTTTTTGCTCATGACAATACCCAAATATCATTCATTACAGATAATCTTTGTTTTACATCTCTTTCTCATCCTATTTATGTGACTATACAAATTTGAAAACTCCATTAGAATATAATTCACAAAGAAAGTTTTTCCGGAAGATAACAGCTACACATTTACATCAAATAAGTTATTTCACTGTTTTTAACAAAAACTGCATTAAATATCACTGTAGCAACCTTTCATATGTTGCGTGATTACATAATGTACCGGTACTTGAACTCTTGGAAAATGGAATAATTATATGTACATACCACAGTGTATATATATAAAAAAAAAATTCACATAGCATTTCAATAGAGTATATCTAAAGTCATCCAATTCCTATTAAGGTTTTAACATACCGGTAGTGAAAATTTATTCTTTATTCAATTACCCATTATCTATCAAAATATGCAAGGTCCGAGAAAACATATTCTGGATATGCAAAGAAATGAAATTTTCTCACAATTTGACTTTTTAACAAACCAGTTAAGCACATTGCAAACTATACAATCCGATTTGGGAAGAATTTGCAATAGCATTTGATATGAACATTCAAACTTATAAAATCTTGATGATCAATGATTTGAATAGTCATATGAATAATAAGATTAACATTTCAGCAGATTTCAAGCTTCCTCGGAGGAATAGCTAAATCGGCTCAGAATCATGGTGATGTCATACCAGTAGTGTGATTTTCTACGATTTGAAGCTAATTTGGCTCTTATTCTGCCAAAAAGGCTTCAATGCAATATAATTTGTTGTGAGTATTCTTTTCATTATTTAGAACCTACATCAGGAAGATCATGTTTGTCTAGATTTGTTAAAACATGTTAAATATAATTGCCATTTCTTTGAATATATCAAATCGCAAAAAGATTGTATAGTATGTGGTGGGCTTTTATGTTTCTAAACCAACCATTTAGGTTTGGGGCAGAGGAATTCACTTACAGTGAAAATAGAGGGCAGTAGACTACAATGATTCTGAACGTACAGTGAGCTCTCCCATAACGTTTATTTACTTTGGGATAAGCCCTCCCTGTTTTTTTTTTCACATGAGGTAAACATATATTGGGGCTCTATTCCCTATCATTTTATGGTATTTTTTTAGAAAATTACACTACTTTTCCTCTATTTTCTCATGAAAAACAGGAAAATGGACAAAAAACATATCACTAGGATAAGGATTTGGAGAAAAAAAGATTGATGAAAAATATAAACAGAGTTGAAAAAACTCAAAAACATATTTCTGTGCTGTTTTTTTTTCTCACTATTTTTCGACCACAGTATTTGGACTAGGTCCTATGCTATTCTATCTATGCTAGATCTACACATACACTGATAATTGCTGATCCAGATAAATCTATTCCTAATGAATTTGTATCGCCTTGATCACAGGATATTCTGTGTACTGCCAATATGCCTTGATAAAACATATCGTAAATCTCCGTGTATAAGGTGCACCTGTGTATAAGGCGCACCCCTATTTTTTTTGGGTTGTTGTTGTTGTTTTGTTGCCGAAAACCCACGCGGGGAAGGACCTTCATTTTACATCGAGGTGCAGTTGAAGTTGTGAACTTGTCACAATTAATAGTAACAACAGTCTAAGGCTTCATGATACCAAGTGTCCCACACCAGCCTCCTCACATCACCTAGCAGAAGCAGTGTGTTCTATGCCAAACATCAATAGTCATGCATGATCTATTAGAAAGATTACTTTCAAACCAAGATGCGGACAAATTTGAGTGTTGTTGTAGTTTCCGAGTGGTGAGTCAACACACTGATTACTGAGCTAGGAGACATTGCCAGGCATAGCGCCATAAATCGAAACTAAAAAAAAAAAAAAAAAAAATTCTGTACCTGTGTATAAGACGCACACCCGACTTTCAAATTTTTTCGGCGGCAAAAAAGTGCGCCTTATACACGGAGATTTACTTTACAGTATAAAAATCATATATACCATAAAGGATATATATTAGTCTAATTTTTGGAATTTTTGTTAAATTTTCTTTAAATTTCACCAACCTTTTTCAACTATATTTTGCCTGGAATGGTTGTGACAGCCACAGGTGTCAAAATGAACTTTTTCCTGAAAACTACACTACATGTAGATCCACTCTCCTCATTTTTCACGAGCAAAAAACATATATTCTGGCTATTTTCTCTTTATTTCTATGGTATTTCCCCCCTTTTTATGGAAAGAAAAAGGAAAATAGACAAAAAAAAAACATATGGGACAAGGATTTGGAAAATATATTCAGAGTTGAAAATAGTCCCCAAAAATACTCTCTTTGTTTTTTTTTTCTCACTCTTTTTCTATTAGTTTTAGACTTTTTTATTTTGACTAGGGCAAGATCAAAGCAGCTCCATCAACCCAGTATTCATTATTTCTTATTCACTTCTTTCCCTCCATAGTGGAACATCTCCCCAATTTGCCAATCTCTCTCTCTTAGATCTTTTCTTTAAAACTCTTTACTTTTTACTGTTTTTCTCCATACTTTCTATTGTTCGTTTCTCTAATATTTTTATGTTGCCATTCATAATACTCAAACAAACCCATAATTCTAAAATTGCCCCTGTGGCTGCCGAAACAGCCTTTCCTTGATTTTGAATTTATACTCAAAGTACAAATCAAACTATTCATTCATAGTTGTCCTTCCTTCATGGGAAATATTTATCTTGCTAAACCCTGACCTCCACATCCTGGTGACATCACTTTAGTTTCAACATCTGTCAATTTTTGCCTGACTGTCTTATCTTCTCCAAGCTTTCTTTCATACTATTTTTTAAAAATAATTTAAGCTCTTTAAAGCCCCACTGCACAACTTGTAGCTACTTGCACCCTCTATATAGGAAACAATGCCTAATCGGTGACCATTGATCCCCCATGATGCCCTTTTTTTAATGTTAATTAAACTAGTGCAGAGGGGCTTTAAGGTGTGAAAAATCAGTCTCTCCCCGCAGACTACGCGAGATCCACCTCCCGGTCATTGCTTGCGCAGATCCATCTATTCATTATCCATTTCTCTCCCTTGATAACTGGACAACCCCCGTGCCAGGTAAAGTTATCCACGTCTCCGAACCATCCCGTCTCCTCGTCGATGAAGTGGTTGTACCAGATGACCGCCTTGCCTTTCTGCGGTCTAACGTGAAGCTTCGACTCCCTGCAGTGGTTGTTCAGGTTGATGTTGCCGCTGTTGCGAAGCGTCTGCAAGGTAACAAAAATGGCAGCAACAAATAAAAGATTACCCAAAAGCATTTTGGCAATGAGTTTAAAGTTGACGGTCGAAAAAAGCTTAGACTCTCTGCAGTGGTTGTTAGGTTGATGTTGCCGCTGTTGCAAAGCTTCTACAAGGTAAGGAAAGTTAGAAGAAAACAAATTGGCAGCAACAAATAAATGATTACCCCAAAGCATTTTGGCAATTGGTTATTAAAATGTTGATTGTCAAAAAAAGTACATTGTAATATATATGAACATGGCTGTTTAGGTCGATGCTACCACTGCTGCAAAGCATCTACAAATTCACAAAATTTAAATAAGATTAGACGACAATAAATGAAAGATTGCTTCAACTGCAACTTTGCAATGGTCGAGATAATTAATGGAAGCAAATGTATTAAATATCCACAACTTCTTAGGTTAATTCTAATGCTGCTATGAAGTTTCTAAAAAATCAAGCAGTGAAAGTCTGCTAAAAAACTTTTGACGACAGGTCCAGATTTATTGGTAGAAGATGGCTACGGAGTACGGAAGTGTGACGTCATGCTTGGCAAGTTGTCAAGGTTGCTGGTTCCAAACAATTACGTGCTCTAGACAGCCGCGTGGTAATCACACCAGCAACAAACGCTGAATTTGCCCTGCTCCAGCCTGTTGCTTGAATGATTTCCCGGTGAACCTCATGTGCATGCAGGCTCTGATGTTTGGAACCAGTAACATAAACGTTGAGCAAATACCGTATGACATTATCACTTTGGCACTACATAGAGAGTTAACGGCTGTTTAGGTTGATGCTACAGCTGTTACAAAGCTACTACAAATAAAAATAATTCATTAAAGATTGGACAGCAATATATGAATGATAAATTTTTTTAAACGCTCTTTGGCGATGCTTCCAGAATCGTCAACTTACCTGATCGCTAAAGGTGTCATTGTTAGCCACTACAAATGCTGTTTCCCCTCCTTCTTCGACATCATTCAGGTAAACCATTATAGTCATGTACCTGCAAAGTAAAAAGGAGAATACATAGAGAGTCCCTCATTTAATATTCTTGGCCATTTCATTAATGAAAATTCATGTACCGGTATACCACATTTGAAAATGGTCAAGAACTACTCGGTAGATAGAAATGTAAACTCTTTTGGTGCGTATGCACATATTAAGTAAATAAGCTCATACACTATTGTGCCCATTTGAATAATAAACATGTACATACAATTTGAATAAGAGAATCATTTTAACATCAAGAATTAACAAAGAAATCTTTGTATTGAGGTACTGGGTGTAAAACCAACAACAACAAAACATTTTACATGTTTGATTGTTAATAAATAAAAAGTGAAAGCTAACTGTAGACTGAAGTTCACATGGTAAAGCTGAAGGATGTCAATTTATTTGAAATCCTTTGAAATGCGCTGTGCACTGATAACGGCTGAGGGGCTATTTCCTAAAAGCTCCTTGGAAGCCCATAGGCACATTATATCATACCGTGATATGTGCTTTATACAACAATGGAATACTGTACTATCATTATTATCCTTATCAATTGGCCTTTGAAAGACTGAGGTTGAAGGTGGGGGTTACACTTGGTTTCACTTACCTACAAATTCGGCATTTCTTGGTAGTGACCAGATGACAACACGGCAGTCCTTTGGTGTCTCCGGCCGAGTCCAAGTGGGCATTATAGTGACCGTGGGGGCCATACTTGACCACCTGAAAGAAGCTGTACTTGTTGATGAGCTGCTCAGGAAGCCTGGTCAATTTCAGTAACCTAGAAACAGCAAATATGTGACAAAAACTGTTATAGATCATCATGAAAAAACAGAAGAAATACAAGTAGTGGTAAAATAAATAGAGATAGAGGCCCAAATTCACAAAGGAGGTTTGTTCGACGCATTTAAAAGATTGGTTTGAAACATGTCGAAAGGCGTCATATGACGCACATAAATCTAGGATTGTCGACAAACCTCCTTTGTGAATTCAGGCCAAAGAGGGTAAAATCTAAATTGAAGTTTATTGTTTATCTGATGACGATTATGCTTATGAATATGATTACGATTATTATTTCATCAAATTCCAGAAAATTTGGGGTTCTATTTCAACAAATTTTATTTTGACGATTTGAAGCACTGAGTGCTAGTAGTAGTAGTAGTAGGAGTAGTAGTAGTAGTAGCAGAAGTAGTAGTAGTAGTAGTAGTAGTAGTAGTAGTAGTAGTAGTAGTAGTAGCAACATGAAGAAGTATTAGGCCCTGTAATTGGAAACATTTCGGTAGTAGAATAAGAATAATCTTATCTACTGTAGATATGGACATACTGTAGTGCATTGTAAATTTTGATTCAACATTGAAACATTCTTCTGTTTGTTACAAAAATGTCTGTAATAGCAGAAAGGACACCTGTGTATACAGTGTGAGTCAAAAAAAATTTACACCTAGAAAATTGCTAATTATTTTTAAAATCATCTATGAACAGTAAGTTATTATACATATTATGAAAGTGTGTTTCATCCCGAATCATTTAGTATCATTTTGTGTGGTATGTGTTCACGCTTGGATGAACAGGAGGCATCGTTTGCGAGAGTGCAAAAATTGACTTGCGCCAAAGTTGATTATGTGATGTTAGAATAAAACAATTGGGATTAGGGTATTAATTCAGTCTTTGCAGATCAAAAATAACATCCCTAACAATATTGATCATGCCACACATATCAAATATCGAATTTGAAACGTCAACGAACAATTGTGCGCGTGTGTGTGTGTGCGTGTGTGACTTTGCTTCTGCAAAAAGCATATGCAATGCATTTCATTTAATACATTCAATTCATTCTCTCACTCCGTTAATCTCTAGGCATCACTTTGGCGCAAGTCGATTTTTGCACTATTGCAAACAATGCCTCCTGTTCATCCAAGCGTGAACACATACCACACAAAAATGATACCAAATGATTTGGGATAAAATGTATAACAATTTACTGTTCATAGATGATTTTTTAAATAATAAGCAATTTTCTAGATGTAAACTTTTTTTTGACTCACATGGTAGTGGCCATGCATTTCATCACCCCCCCCCCCCCCCCCCCCCACCAAAAAAAAAAATTGTGCTGGAACCTGTCTAGAAAGGCCACCTGATGCAGTGACCACTTTCGCTGTTTCCTGTAGGTCGCCTCAACATACAGACTTGACAGTTGAATGTAAAATTGCATGTAAAAATCTGATTATGACTTGCATTATGCATTTTCTCTCAGTTTGGGAACTTGAGAAAACAGTTTTACCCTATTCCTTTTCTCTTTAGTGGTAGACCTATGCTATTCTTAATTCTCATACGGGTGTATGTGTTAGAAAATCTTCGTATTCTTCCCTGCAACCCCTGAACGAGAGAGCAAGAGATAGAAAAAGAGAAAAAGATAGGGAGAAAGAGAAAAAGAGAGAGAGAAGAAGAAGAAGAAAGAGAAAGAGACAGAGAGACAGCAAGAAGAAAAGAGAGCAAGAAATAAAGGGAGAAAGAGAGCATGAAAAGAGAGAGAGAGAGATAGAGAAGAGAAATGGAGGGAGGGAGAGAGAGAGAGGGAAATAGTGAGAATAACTGTCTGCCATCCGAACCTCCCCGCTTTCCAAAACTAAAATACTCCCATGACAAAAAGCTAAGCAGACAAACCAGTCTGCGACAAAATTGATGAGTCACTCAGGTATAAATCCACTCAATCATACTCCTGTCTAGCCTGCTGAGGGCTAAAAGGACATTAACTCTGCATTACAATGCAATTGATAAGAGTTTATGACCTTCTAGCTATTAGCTCTTAGATTATATGGATTTATTCTCAAATTAAAGAATAGTATCAATGGCATTGCACTGGGAAATGGTACGGCTTGTCGACATGAATTCCTCCTTGGTTTGGTCTCATTTTCCATATGAAATTCAAATATATTCACATGAATATAAACAATATACAAAGTCAAGATTGAAAAAGATGGCTGAATAGCTCTCTTCGGAGCCATACATACATATATTGGCTCTGTTTTTTCCTGCAGGTCTGAATGCACAGTACACCCACTAGATTTTATTTGAATTGCTTTCCTGGAGCTTCAAAGGTATGGGGCTTCACCCTATTGACTCAAACCTGCTTTAGCGACCACCTGTATAGAAAGAGCATCTGTCTATAGAGACCACGTTGTTTGTTTCACTTTAATATGGTTTCTCATTTAAATATGTACTATAAATGGAACCTGTAACATAAAGACCACCTGCCTATAAAGGCCACTTTGCTTGCCTCCGAGTGGTCTTTATATACAGGTTTCACTGTACTTCATGCAGGATCCTGTACATAAAGACCAACTGCATATAACTAGCAGCCTTTTCGCACATAGCTAAAATTCATCGTATCTAGAGACGATTAGTTTAAACATGTTTAAAGAAAATTTTCCCTGTGTGAACATCGTTTATACGATGTTCGGATAGATACAAAGTTGCGATTCATACGCCCCTCAAAGCAGGCTGCAGATACGAAGTTTGTATCTAGAGAGCTTGACATTTTGTGTGTGAATGGTTATTCGTGTTTAAACGTGTTTAAACGTGTTTAAACTGGAAGGAGCGTGCGCTTTGTTAGATATGACATGACCTTCGATGCGCAATGGCACTACTGCGCATTTTAAGAGCAGTAGTTAATCACGAAACGATTAACGACCGCACCGAAAATTTCTGTGTGTGAATGATGTCGTATGTACAGCTGATTAGTTTAAAGCCCTTTAAACTAATCATGTTTATAGAATTTTAGCTGTGTGTGAAAAGGCTATAGTATCACTTCAAAGTGATGCCTTTCTGGCTCTCAACAGAAATACTCTGACTATGGCAATATTCCCCTACCTTCTTTGGAACTCAGCGACCAGGTCATCCTTGGTCCTATCCGGGTAGATCCAGGTCTGTTCGCTGTACCTAGACTTCTTGATGGGATTCTTGCTGACCAGGTCCTTGATGTATGCTGCCAACTGACGCACCTTCAGACCAGACGACTCCGATCGACTGATGAAGTCTGATTGTAAGAAATTAAGAAGCATTTGATAATTGTTAATAGTTGATTGTGTCATATAACCAATCTTGGTCTTACAGTTTTCATTACTCAATCTTTAATAATGTCTTGGTCTCGACTAATAATTGCAGGGCACTCAGGAAAAATAGTATTAATGCTGATGATGCTTCCCTGGGTACACAAAATTATCATCATCATCATCTTCAGTATCAGCAGCAGCAATAGCAGTAGTAGTTTATGTTTATGCTAGACCTACAGCCTTTTCACACACAGCTAAAATTCTATAAACATGATTAGTATAAACGTGTTTGAAACGTGTTTAAACTAATCACGAGCCTTTCACACACAGAAATTTCGTTGCGATCGTTAATCGTTTCGTGATTAACTACTGCTCGTAAAATGCGCAGTAGTGCCAGGGCGCATTGAAGGTCAGGTCATATCAAACAGAGCGGTCGCTCCATCCAGTTTAAACACATTTAAACACAAAAAAAACGTTCACACACAAAATGTCAAGTTCTCTCAATACGAACTTCGTATCTGCAGCCTGCTTTTAGGGGTGTATGAATCGCGACTTTGTATCTATCCCAACATCGTATAAACGATGTTCACACAGGGAAAATTTTCTATAAACATGTTTAAAACTGTTGAGTTAAACACGTTTATACTAATCATCTCTAGATACGATGAATTTTAGCTGTGTGTGAAAAGGCTGCTTGATGCCCCCAAACACTGATCATCTCATTAAAACTTGTTTCCATGGGGTGATAAAGAAGCCCTTATTGAGTTTATGGTTCCATGACACATGCTCCGCCGACGATTGCTCCGCCGACATTTACTCCGCAAAACGCGACAATTGCTCCGCGACATTTGCTCCGCGACATTTGCTCCGACGTCAAATGCTCCGCCGACAGGTGCTCCGCCGACAGTTGCTCCGCCGACAGTTGCTCCGCCGACAATTGCTCCGCCGACAGATGCTCCGCCGACAGTTGCTCCTCCGACAATTGCTCCGCCGACAATTGCTCCGCCGTCAATTGCTCCGCAAAACGCGACAATTGCTCCGCCGACATTTGCTCCGCCTGAAGCGACACTTGCTCCGCTGACATTTGCTCCGCCGACAATTGCTCCGACGACATTTGCTCCGCATGAAGCGACACTTGCTCCGTTGACATTTGCTCCGACGACATTTGCTCCGCCCAAAAAGTGTCCCATTAAATACAAATGCTACTAGTACTACGACAAATGCTTCGCCGACAATATTTTTTTTTCACGGGTTGTTTTTGTTTCTTTCTTTTTTTCTTCATTTTCTGAATGCATTTCATGAAATTATGTAAATGAAATGAAATGAATGAATGTTGATAATGTGGGAGGAAAAAGCAATTGCCTAAAAGTCATTTCGAATATACTGAAATAACTTTCCATCTATCACTGTACGTTCCACATAATGTACACTAAACACTCATTACATGTCATGGGAAGTTTTTTTTTTTAAAGTAGAGCAGCAAGCCACATTCCCCAATACGCGCATACCTCCTAGTTAATTTCAAACAGCTCATCAATATGTAAGACCTGAAATTACCTCAATGAAAGAAGACTAATAACATGAGAGGAAAGAAAAGAGCAAAAAAGACAACCGTTTTTTGCTATTCCCTATAATGTTTGATTTAAAAAAATAAAAAATAAAATTATAGCTCCTTACGCAAGTTCTCCGGCGAAAGATAATTACTCCGCTCAAAATCTGTTTCATGTATTACTCATTAGCTGATCCAAAGCTCAAGGCTATCTCTCTCTCTCTCTTTCTCTCTCTCTCCCATGCTCCTCCTTTTCCTGTTTACACCGTTTTCTTGTCTTCTTTGCTCTTTTCTTTCCTCTCATGCTATTAGTCTTCTTTCATTTCCATCCCTTCTTCTCTGCTCCCCCTCTCGAGTTCTATTTCTCTCGTGAAATTGAAACGTAAAGTAATACAATCATGTAGTACATTCTTGTTTAGAATAATATTTTCAATAATATCCAGTCCATTTTCTAAAGGTTTCTTTCCTTTAGTTAAGTGTATGTAGCTTTAATATATATATGTTAGTGTGCAAAACACTCCGTTTCATTCGAGTACTTTGTTTTCACTAAATAATTTAAGGGACTCACGAAGCCACCGGAAGAAGAGCAATTGGCTTATCATGAAGAACTAACATCAAACTGCAACAAAATGATTTGTATAAATGTGAATAAGCAGAAAGGCTGCCATCTCATTTTCCCGTCTGAATGGGTTCTCTTCCTTACGTATATAAGTGCCCTTATTTTCTAAACTTTTTTTAAAAATATTTGTGTGTTTATTAAATTTTCAATCATATAAAAATTACATATTTACAAGTCATTGGTAATAATTAGACAAACAAAAAAAAAAAATATTTATAAGAACAACTAACAATAATGAAAGGACAAGAAAGTTATAAAAAAAAAAACATTATAGTAAAAAAAAATACACTGTACACATATAAATCATAGTTTGAACTCCAGTGCATAAAGGGGAGTGAGGGGCACAGGAATAAAAGTTAAATCAACATGAGTATCATAAGTCAAATCGCCATTTCTTAAAATGCGAAACAAGCTTGTTCCTTTTTTTCGCTGAGAAATATTCAATATCTTTTTGTTTCTTTATAAAACTCTTAAAAAGATCAACACTTGGTAAATCCCCCTTACTTATTTTCTAAACTTCCATGATGACCTATTACATTGTATAATGCTTTACCTAGTAACCCATAGGAAAGAAATGAGCCTGCCGCATACTCCTGCGGCAGACTTGCCGCAGATCTGCAGCAGACCTGCCGCAGACAGTCATCTTTTTCACATGCAAATTAGTTTTGCCGCAGACTTGCCGCAGACTTGCCGCATACTCTTTCAGTATGATGAAGAGTCTGCGGCAGGTCTGCCGCAGACTTGCTGCAGACCTGCCGCATACTCTTTCAGTATGATGAAGAGTCTGTGGCAGGTCTGCCGCAGACTTGCCGCATACTCTTTCAGTGTGATGAAGAGTCTGCGGCAGGTCTGCCGCAGACTTGCTGCAGACTTGCCGCATACTCTTTCAGTATGATGAAGAGTCTGCGGCAGGTCTGCCGCAGACTTGCTGCAGACTTGCTGCAGACTTGCTGCAGACTTGCCGCATACTCTTTCAGTATGATGAAGAGTCTGCGGCAGGTCTGCCGCAGACTTGCTGCAGACCTGCCGCAGACTCTTCATCATGAATATTCATATCTCATATAGACCTGCTGCAGACCTGCCGCATACTCTTTCATATCCAGAACGTGGCAATAAAGTATGCATGTAGAAGAACCAGTGATAAACTGATTGATACTTCATAATCGATATTGGCAATATCGATATTACCAATTAGGTAATACCAATATATATATATATATATTACCAATTAGGTATATTCTATTCTCAATTGTGTTAACTTCATCACAATGATCATTTGAAGTGTATTCAAGAGTAACATTTAAAGTGACACAGGCTCGTACACATATATAAACTAAATATGTATATTGTTTCTTGGTTAGTAATCATAGTTTCTTGGTTAGTAATCAATATATCTATTGCTTAAACGTGAATATAATTGTAACATGATCAGACAAAATAATCTATTGGTTAATCATGGCAAAAGGAAAATAGAAATCACAAAAATGATGTGCATTGTCTTAATTTGCTTAACAAATCATGATAAATGTATTTTTCTGTCACACGTGTAAAGTAATAATGAATATGCATGAGATGATTGGTTTCAATTGGCCCTATTAGACTTTAATGGGATTTCCTGTGGCAGACCTGCCGCAGACTGTTCCTGTGGCGTACTGGTATGCGGCAAGTCTCGAGCAAAGTTTCGCCCTGCCGCAGATCTGCCGCAGACTGTTCCTGTGGCATACTAGTATGCGGCAAGTCTGGAGCAAAGTTTCATCCTGCCGCAGATCTGCCGCAGACTGTTCCTGTGGCATACTAGTATGCGGCAAGTCTGCAGCAAAATTTCATCCTGCCGCAGATCTGCCGCAGACTGTTCCTGTGGCATACTAGTATGCGGCAAGTCTGCAGCAAAATTTCATCCTGCCGCAGATCTGCCGCAGACTGTTTCTGTGGCATACTGGTATGCGGCAAGTCTGCAGCAAAATTTCTTTCTGCCGCATACTTCGGCATACTCTTTGCTGCAGACTAAAAGTCTGCGGCAGGTCTGCGGCAGATCTGCGGCAGGTCTGCGACAGGTCTGCGGCATACTTTTCACTTTCCTATAGATGCATTGATCGAGGTAATTTCAGGTATTACATATTGATGAGCTACTTGAAATTAACTAGGAGGTATGCGCGTATTGGGGAATGTGGCTTGCTGCTCTACTTTTTTTTTTTAAACTTCCCACGACATGTAATGAGTGTTTAGTATACATTATATGGGACGTACAGTGATAGATGGAAAGTTATTTCAGTATATTCGAAATGACTTTTAGGTAACTCCTTTTTCCTCCCACTTCATCAACATTCATTCATTTCATTTCATCTACATTATTTCAAGAAATGCATTCAGAAAATGAAGAAGAAAAAAAGAAACGAAAAAAATAGGTGTAAAGAAAATATTGTCGGCGAAGCATTTGTCGTAGTACTAGTAGCATTTGTAGTTTATGGGACACTTTTTGGGCGGAGCAAATGTCGTCGGAGCAAATGTCGGCGGAGCAATTGTCGCTTCAGGCGGAGCAATTGTCGGCGGAGCAATTGTCGGCGGAGTAAATGTCGGTGGAGCAAATGTCGGCGGAGCAAATGTCGGCGGAGCAATTGTCACTTCAGGCGGAGCAATTGTCGGCGGAGCAATTGTCGGCGGAGCAAATGTCGGCGGAGCAAGTGTCGCTTCAGGCGGAGCAAATGTCGGCGGAGCAATTGTCGCTTCAGGCGGAGCAATTGTCGGCGGAGCAATTGTCGGCGGAGCAAATGTCGGCGGAGCAATTGTCGGCGGAGCAATTGTCGGCGGAGCAAATG